AATCCGAAAATATTCCCACGCTCTCGGAAAAATATGAAAAATTAACTCAAACTTTATACACAACATAAGGACAGGTACGTGTATATGTATCAGAAAATATTACAAAAACTGAGAATTCTCAACTTTTTAATTTTGGCTAAATTTAGCTAACGCCCCTGTACTATCAGGGACTTTGACCCAATTTTTGAGCAACTTTAAAAATTCATAAAAAATCCAAATTTAATCAGAATCAGCTCGAACTTTCTACACAACACAAAAACATGTATATGCATCACTCAATTCCATATACACAATTAAAATCAGACTTTAACTAAAACACTCCTCTCTCTCTTACCTGAGCAATGGTCCACTTCACCAAAGGCCCACAGTAAATTACAATGATTTGTAATTATCATCAACACAAACTTGTACAAATGATGCAGTTACACAGCATGATTACAATAGCCAGTTATAACATTGTACAAACAAACATCTACCACTCCCCAAACTAGAGGCATTCAATGCCAACCAAAATGGACTACTCTTTCCTCAGTGGGTGGTTTATTCTTTGGTGTTCTCTTACCAGCTGCTATTGATAAATCAGCATACAATACTTTATGAGGAGCAGCTGGAGGAGGAATGGGAGGAGGAACAGACTAGGAGGAGAGAGAGAGGATGTATAAGATACCATTACATGTACATGTACATTATCATTACTTTGTTGTTAACTGATGCATATACCACTGGTTGTTCTTGTGTTGGTGCTGCCTGTGGTCTCTTCCCTTTAGCAGCAATAGCCAGATCAGCATACACTGGCTTATGAGCTGATTCATCAACTAACACCTATTGAATATAACAACATGAACCTTAATTACAAATGTACATACCTTATGTACTAATATACCTTATACTAATGTACATACCTATACTAATGCATTTATATGTACTTATGGTATGTGTGTATTAGTTACTATAAGGTGGTACATCAGATTGCATAAGGATAAGTTCACCTTATTACATGAAAAGCTAAAAGGATGTACTCAATTCACCCATTACCCTCTTCCCTTCCTTTTTATGATACAATACATAATGTACATGTAGTTCATTAAACCCAATAATTATGTACATGTAGTTCATTAAACCCAATACATTATGTACATGTAGTTCATTAAACCCAATACATTATGTACATGTAGTTCATTAAACCCAATACATTATGTACATGTAGTTCATTAAACCCAATACATTATGTACATGTAGTTCATTAAACCCAATACATTATGTACATGTAGTTCATTAAACCCAATACATTATGTACATGTAGTTCATTAAACCCAATACAATATGTACATGTAGTTCATTAAAACCAATACATTATGTACATGTAGTTCATTAAACCCAATACATTATGTACATGTAGTTCATTAAACCCAATACATTATGTATATGTAGTTCATTAAACCCAATACATAATGTACATGTAGTTCATTAAACCCAATACATTATGTCAAGAGTGGATTATGTACATGTATCCATACCTGGTTGTTGGTGTTTTTATTAATGGTTGAATATAGTCCAGTAGCACCAGTAGACAGACCCTGTTGACCCTTATTCTATTAATAATACATTATATGATCCATTTTTAAAAGACTCTTTCATTAATCACTGACCTCTCCCTCTCTCTTCAATACAGAGTATTCCTGTACTCCCTCAGGATTATAGGCAGGAGGGACAGGAGGAGGAGTATCATCGTCTTGATTGAGTGTTGAATAAAGTGGACCAGCTCCTTGTTGTTGTTGTTTTTTCTTTTTCTATTATACATTATTGTTATTGTATGTCTGGTATTTTGTTTATTATACCTCTCCCTCTCTCTTCAGTTTAGAGTATTCTTGTCCTCCATTAGGATTATAGGCTGGTACTGGTGGGGGAGTATCATCATCATCATCACTAGCTCTAAGAACACTGTACTCACCTAGTGAATATTGTATATTAATAATAATAATGTATATAATATATAATTACTGAGTCTATACTTAATACTGATCACTATAAAGCATGTACTTAAGCACATTGTCTATCATGTCCTCTTGTCTATATGATGTGCTAGTTCATTGTATCTTACAGTCAAACATATGATTACCCTGTGTAGGCTGTTGTCAGCTTATTGTGTGGTACATGTATACACATATGGTTCATGTCATGACAGGTAGAGGAAGTTAATGTTATTCTTGCTAATGTACACTAAATGATGACTGGATATAAGTATTTGTAATAATAATAATA